CGCCGCAATTCCACGCTTTGAAGCTATCCTAATGCTTATAGGGCTGCCGACCGACGAAATAATTCGGCTCTCTGTGGATGAAGAGCCAGGCCCAAAACCCCTGATTATGTCCTGCATGACTCTTTCACTGCTGGGATCTGAGTTTCTCCTTGCTTTTAAAGACTTTGTCATCCGCACGCGAACCAGGCTTGTGTAGCGCGCGTAGACTGTTAATACGCTGACTCTTCTTGACTCTGTTTTGTCACTGGACCCAGGATGATGATTAAAGAAGGAAGGAATGTGGCAGATACCGCTCTATACTAATTCACGTGTCAGTCGCCGTCCTGCGCATATCATGTTCTAGAACACATGACGTACCCTGTCGTTCTTGACGGTAGTTAACCGCCTATTTTGGATCATTTTTATGTCCCTAGCGCAAATAGATCTAGTTACTTTCGTCCTTCATCAGAATGCCTAATTTGGGGCATCATTTTGTGGACGATAATTGCTCTTGTTAACAGAAGCAGACATTGCAACTTCAGTTGCCGTTGCATTTCTTCCAGCTGCAAATTAGCGCAGTCGTTTTCTCTGGGAGGTTTATGTTTGTCTTACTCCTAAGACGGCTGAAAAAACTGGAGCTTGCCGGCGTTCGATTTTTACCTCATATCCCCACTTCTGTTGTACACAGCGTTTAAAAAGCATTTTCCACCTCCAAAAATTATATTTCGCATAAAAACAGGTGCAGAATTTTCCAGTTGTGATATTGCAACTCAAAAATTTACTGTTAGCAGTTACCCATCATGGGCAATGCACGGAAGCGCTGACGTCCACTCTACCTTCTTCCCTTCTATTTGTCGACGTAGTACAGTTTGCTAACTGTGCGGTTTTTGAGTGTACACTGTGTTATTTGAAGTATTCAGAAGACATGGATTTTTATATTTCTTGTGATGTGTGACGCGACTGTTTGAAATTCAGAATAGGCCTCAAACTGCAACTTCTTAGGCCGCGTTGACCGCAGACAGTAACCATAAATGTAATTGGGCTCTTAGGTAGAACCTACGTTGAGAGTATATTCGCGCGATCTTCTACCTATCAATAACAATTATTTTAGTTTGGGTGTCTTTGCGGTCATTATAAACACAGGCCTATTCTTAGTCCTTCCTTCAAGCGCAACTGAATGTGGGTAGTTTATATAAAATAGTTTGCAATTTTCCCCTTTTTCTCCTAATGTGAGTGAGTGGCCAATTTGGAATCTGGCAATTTTTCCCATCCTACAGTCCGTTTTCGTATTCTTCTCAGCCTTTCCGAGGGATCAAGTTCTGCAGGAGTCGATCCGAGTGTCCGCGTTGCCCGTTGAGGTCCCTATGGAAGAAACTGGTGATCCTGAAGATGGTGATCAGACTTGCTCGGCCACCAGTTCCAGTCCCCGACTACCGACCCCTAAACGTCGTTCTGTTAGCCCTGGTGGTCCTTTCCATATGAAAACCCGGCTAACGAGTAAGCAATGCGATGACGAGGCAATGTCCTTTGCGGAAGGTAAGGAAGAAAATGTGACTGCAAAGAAAGACCCGTCTGCGGAGAAACACGCGGGGGATACTACCGGCGACTCAGTTCCAGACAACGCTTCCGTGGGGAGTGCCTCAGAAAAGGACGACCAGGCACTCATGCTCTATCTGCACGATCTTTGGTCGAGTCTCGCTGATCACGATCGTTCTCCTCTCCCTCATCACGTGGGTAATAATTGCCCTCTTCCTGTTTTCCTGAGCCGAATATTTAACCGATATTTGCCAACAGCTATGCTTTTTACTCAGTCGGTTTAGCTTATCCATCTAACTCCGCCAACGTTTTGAACTCTGCCATCCGGTCTAAGACAGCTTTAGAGTATTCGTTGTCTCGAGTAATCCACATGAGGGAAGGTCAACTATTGAAGTATTTTTTTATTCATAGGCTGCTAAAAGCTAGTGCTCCGTAAATGTACAAGGAATTGATTGGATTGAGAAGAAGAAGAAGAAGAAGACTCGATCGCTAGGACAATGTGTTTATTCGCCTGACGTTTCGACCTTCCCCCAATTGATTGGATTATCGAAGCCCACCGCTGATATGGCGATTGAG